TGTCCCAAATTTATCACCGTTGCTTCTGAACCGATACCAGAATCCCAAAATCGATGGCAACAAATGCGCTTAAATTGTCTTTGTTGGCAATGTGGTCCGATAAACATCCCCACCTTGGGTGTATGAAATCGGTGTTCTTCACAATCATTTATCATTGATAATCATTTATTTCGGATCCACAAATGGTCCGCTGTTTTGTCTGGTTTATTGTTGGGTTCACCATGTTCGGAAGAGAATCATAAAACTAAGGTATACATTGGATGTGACAGATACAGTGCGAGTAATTTACGCAGTTCCCCGTGATGGTGTTCCACGCCGATGCAATTCTCAGTTGCTTTTGTAAGGTATTACTGGTATTACCGTAGATCATGATTCCTGCACACATCCGTAGCATCCATAGTGCAGCAAAGAGACTCACGTGAGCCTTGGCAGTGTTGGAGGCACTATGGTTTTCAGTGGACTGGCGGATTCTAACTGTTCAGGGCATCTGCAATTTTCAAGTATCAGAGACGTCTCAATCTGGTTGGTGGTTCCAACACCTCTGAAAAATATGAAAATCTGTTGGGATGATGAAATTCCCAACATATGGAAAAACAATCCAAATGTGCCAAACCGCCAACCAGCAATGGTCTCTTAGCAAAAACTGCTGCACTCTTGCAAATAACAATCACTTGTCAGCCAGAACAGATTTCATCAATCTTGACAATTGAATCACCTTGGTCCTTTGGAACCTTAGCAAGCCACTGCAAAACCTTCCACATCGATATCCAAGATATCCAGTTCCACAAGTTGACCATGGAAACCATATCTCAACCGGCTACCCCGGGCTGGAAAACCGGCCCGGATGTTCCACATCCATCAACATCATCAACTCATCCAGTGAATTCCAAGGGACTTCCCGCTCTCGTGGCGTTGGAGAGAAGTCCCACTTTTCCAAGTTGGACCTTCGGTGACGCGTCGCGCCTGGTGCCACGTTGAATCCATGGCCCGCAGCTGGGGGCAACGTCAGGACGGCCCTTGTGGTTGGTTGGGTCGTTTCATGGGAAATATATGGGAAAAATATGGGAAATATATGGGAAAAATGGTGATTTATGGGAAATATATGGGAAATATATGGGAATGGAATGTTATTCCCCCATTTCCATCGTGGTGCAAGTCACCTGGCTTGTGGTTGGAAGAAAATGACATCAATCCTCTATCTGCATTGTCCACATCACATGTTCTGTTGGGTGGTTTGAACCTATCCCAAAAAAATTGACTTTGGGGACAAAAAAAAGCTCAAGAAAATGGTTTTGTCTGAGAATAGTGTACCCCCAAAGTTGATAGTTTGTAGTATTTGTTCCATGAAAATTCGATGGTCTCAAATGACAAATTGAGGGTATCCCCATTTTCAGACAACGCTAATATCTAAAACCCCTAGCAGTGTTTGAAAATCATCAGACTGTTTACATCTCTCTGCTTCAAATCGATCTCGCCTCTCATCACCAATGCTTTTCCACGTAGTGGAAGTTTCCTAGGTCGTTGAGGCAGGCGTTGACGAAACTAAGATCCAATATGACCACATATATAACCTCAGTATTTCACAAATCCACGAATCTAAATTCTCCCAATGACCCAAATTATCCACAAGACCCAAATTCTCTACATAGTATTGTATTTCAGGCCATCAATCTGATGGGGAAACCAGGGAAACCCCCGAAGTCATAGTGAATCTATGCTAATCTTAGAGACATCCTTGAAGAAATCATAAAAAACAATACTTAGTTGCTAGCTAAATTGCCAAACATGGACCATTGTTGGTCAAATTTCACCAGCAAAGCATACAAAAAACCTCAATACTTGCACCACCGGTTAGTTCGGCGCGCCCTTCGCGCCCATGCCGGGCGTCTCGGAGTTGTTCAAACTCTTGCAGCAACTGCACCAAGTGCTGATGGAAGAGCGCCTCTGCCTACAGGGGAACGTTTGATGTAAGGCATAAATATGCATAAATGATAGGGTATAAATTAAATAGCATCTGGTTATTTGTTACAGTTTGCCATAGAAAGATCCACCATTTTTAAGAACGGTAAACCATCTATTTCGATTAGGGCCATGGCTTAACCATGGCGAACTGTGAGTCATAACCAGAGGGTAATAGGTATAAATTGGTTGGTCAGGTAACAAAGGGAGGTTTCACACCAGTTAATGGGAGAAGTTACGCAGACTGATGATCAGTAACAGGTTGGATACCTTGGATTTGCCGGACTTCAAACTAAGTGGATTGTCTTCATTGTACATTATTGAATTTCACGAGGTCTTGGGGTTTTGGGATTTTTAGGGTATATTGGGTTTCAAAGTCAAAATGCATCATTTCGAGCAACCTGCGCGCAGAAGGGTCGTGAGGAAAAGTGTTGAATGTTGTGATTTCTGTTGAATCAGTGGTCCACAGGTCCAACTGGCGTTCCAGAGAAACTGAAACAGTCGGAAACAGTCGGAAACAGTCGGAAACAGTCGGAAACAGTCGGAAACAGTCGGGAGCGGCCCGGCGTGATCGTGCCAAAATTGTCAATCCGCAATTTTTTTGCAAAAAAAAACGTTCCGCGCAATCCCCTTTTTTTGAAAGTGCAACGGGAAACAGTTGGAAACAGTTGGGGCTCGTACCTTTGACTCGGCAAAAAAAGAGCTATTTAAAACCAGTTTATAAAGAAAATGAACCTTAAATGGTTTTAAATAGCTCGTTTTTTGCCGAGTCAAAGGTACGAGCCCCAACTGTTTCCAACTGTTTCCCGTTGCACTTTCAAAAAAAAAATGGGATTGCGCGGAAAGTTTTTTCTTGCAAAAAAAATGCGGATTGACAATTTTGGCATGATCAGGCCGAGCCGCTCCCGACTGTTTCCGACTGTTTCCGATCGTTTCCGACTGTTTCCGACTGTTTCCGACTGTTTCCGACTGTTTCAGTTTCTCTGGAACGCCAGTTGGACCTGTGGACCACTGATTCAACAGAAATCACAACATTCAACACTTTTCCTCACGACCCTTCTGCGCGCAGGTTGCTCGAAATGATGCATTTTGACTTTGAAACCCAATATACCCTAAAAATCCCAAAACCCCAAGACCTCGTGAAATTTAACATTGTACATGTAAAATGATCCAATTATATATATATATTATACAAAATATAGTACCATATATGGGTGCCATCCTTACTTAGATATAAGAATAAAATGATGAAAATGAGATACCCTCCAGTGAATTAACATAGGCCCTGCCAGATAGGGGTTGGAAGGCTAGTTTCCACTAAAAATTAGTCATTTTCAGGGTCTATGTGAATTTACCAAAGGGTAATATGTTTAGATGTATCACATATATGATTATATGATACAATGATATATATATATATAGTAATAAAAGTGGGTGACATGTTTGGATTCTTACCCAGTTACTAAATCCGCAGGACCCCCAGCTGAATTCGCTGAATTCCCAACCTGAGCTCGACTGGAGTCCATGGCGGATGGCACAGGAGGTGGCAGAAATGCAGTGAATTTCAATGGAAAATCATGTCCAAAAGCAGTAATGAAAAGGATCGTCATGATTTTGAAGAAATAGTTGATAGGTGTTAAATACTTGTGAAATAGTTGTTAAATAGGTGTTAAATAGTTGGTCAATCCAATTTCAATTAATGATGATGATTTCACAACGGGAAAAACATGTAATTAATGTCATACAATTATTCAGCTGCTCAAGAATCAGCCTAAAAAATCAATGTCCTTCACTGCTGATGCCAAAGAATGCTCGTTGAGCAGAGGACAGTACGTCTAGGATACCTGTGAAGGGACGTGACGTTTCTTATAGCAGGAGGAGTGGCGTTTAACATGTTATCAACTGATTCCATTGGTATCATATTTCAAAGTGATCCTTCAATTTCACTTATCAATGTGAAGTGGATATAAACTGATATCAACTGATTGATATCCATTTATTCCAGTTAATAACTGCTGATATCTAATGATATCCATTATTTTTGTGTTACTAATCAACAGTGTTTCAGTAGGTATCACAGCAATTTCCATTCTGATAGAACCAATCACAGCAGCCCACCCTGTGAGCCAACCTGCGCTTTTTTGAGATCTCGGAAGAATCCCAAGATATGCAGCTGGTTCCGCCATGGAAATGGCCATAGCATGGGCTTCGCCATTTTTTGAGACACCCCCATTTCGATTCTTCACGTGGTCAGAAGTCATCATCTGGGAATCGGAAACCTTTCCCCATCGAATTTTTCTGGAGACAAAAATGGCTCTTCACAACACCACGGGGCTTGCCAAGCCCGCAAGCCGCCAGCCGCAAGCCTCTAGGAGCAACGGCGTAAGTCGGAGACAAAATCTCTAAATGTTTCCTACCCTCATCTTTTCAAGTCATTTCCTGCCAAAATCTGCTGATACTCTTGGTTCATTGTCAGCGCAGCTGAAGCTTTCGCAACATCCAACTGCAACTGCAACTCTGATTTTGCTGTTCTGATGATTCGGCCGCAACCTGTCCCTGTTTCTCCTATCTTGAGCCGTGGTGTAGCGGCGTGTCACCGTGTCACTACCGTGTAGGCCGCAACACTCGTCGGATGATCCTTTGTGGCATCGGATGATAAAACGAACGTGAATCATTGGCCACAATCCCGTGATGCTGCAATGGTCAACTACAGTATGTTTATGACTATAATAGATATATATATATATATATGATGTGCATATATATATATATATGTACCTAGAGAATCAAAAACCTTCTTTTTTTTGGGTTAAGAAAAAAAACCTAGGTTTTTTTAAAAAAAAACGGTTTCTTTATTTCACCCATAATGGCATTTTGTTGGTTATTCAATGATACCCCAAAAAAGAAGGCTTTTGATACTAACAGCAACCCATGATGCAGCTGTGCCTGTGAAGGTCCACCATTTGCGTGTTTGAACACGCCAAAAAATCCAACTTCAAAATGGCAATGGAAATTGGAAAGATGAAGCGGCCATTTTTCCCCTAAGTCAACAGCCCCGCTTTCACATAGGCTGTGTATGCTGACACAAGAACCCGGTCCAATGACCTAGCAGCAACTAAACGGATGTTGACACGGCGGCTTAGCCGTGAGGCCCGGCCCACCGTGTCTTCATCGAGCTGGCAACCCCATAAAGTGGGGTTGCAGGCAATTTTTACCTGCAATCCCGACTGCCGCACCTCCACCATTAAATGGTGGAAGATGTGGAGCTTTGTATACAAAGGAAAACGCCATTGCTGACTGGCGCGAAAACTAATCAGAGCCATCCGTGAATACACTTTGAGAAATTCTAACCCCTGGTCAGAGACAAATTTGCACTCCTGCTCGTTCAAAAAAACTCCGGCTTTGTACAGCAATGCGAACATGGAATTCAAGCGGTAAGTGGCAGCTCGACATTGAACAAGATGACCGTCAGGGTCAGCTGGGATCTTCCCAAGGAGGTCCACAAGCCACAGCATCAGGTTGGATGTGAGGCCACCTTTATGCCAACATCCCATCGCACCACTGGCATCACCATAGCTCATCATGTAAGCGGTAATGCGACTGACATGGGCTTGCTTGTGGTTGCGGCGGCACCAGCCAAGATATTCTGAAGTCAAATGTTCCCACTTCTCCTCCAGGTTCGCACAAGGCAAGTATGCAAGGCAGAGCTGAATCACACTGGCTACCCAGGAGCGGCCAAAGCCAAGATGCACCACATGCCAGATGTCAGACTTGAAGAAGCTTGCTGGATCGGCAGGATCATGCGGCAAATGGTGGATAAGGGAGGGTTCCCTCACCCAAGGCAGCTTGACTGCCACCGTTTCGAGCCACTTTGGCCTGTCACTTGCAATCTCTTCAGCAGCACACAAACGGGTCCCAGCCAAACAGTAAGGACAACAGCCCTTGGGCGGGCCACGCTCCTCTCCACGTTTTGCTACCGTGTTGTAAGACCTGTAGAAATGTGCAACTTTCTGCAAGTAAGGGGCATCTCCCTTAACTCCAATAATCGCAACTCTGAAGGTCTCACCTGTTGCCTGGTCCTTGTACCCTTCAAGAAGGATCTTGGAGCATGACTTTGCAACATGATCCAGGGCGGAATGGAACACCTCTGGCTGCGTCTCGTAGCATGTTTTTGGAATGCAGCTCACCACATGTCGCGTTGTGAAAGAATGCCCTGCAAAGTTCACTTGAAGAGCAGGAGCACCACCATGCTTCGCAACCCGCTTCTCATCATATCCCTTTCCTAGGGCAGACTGCAGTGAAGTTACCATCAATCCATTTCGTTTCAAGGTCCTGCCTTCATCACCATGAATGAGAAAGCCAGCAGTGCGACTGAGGTCGATCTCTGGGTTGTTGTCCGCCATGTCAAAGAGCTGAAAAGTTGGATAGATTTTGCGGTACTGTCGCCAAAACTCCATCCAGTTGCATCGGGCCCCAGCATGGTCAAACCGATCCCGTCCAGACATTACAGGCCATAGTCCTTTGTCAACGATAAACTGAAGCCAGGACTCTGGGGAAATCCAAGGGATCTGAACTCCGTCACATGTCGCCATGGAAACTGGAATGTCTAACTTGCTTTTCTGTCGCTTTATAGTTTGCTGAACATCCCTCTCAGAGTTCGTCAGGCCACATTTGGCCCAACTTTTGACACCACTGCGGGCAGCCCTCTCACTGCCCAAGTCTTCTGCCACTGCCTTCGCCGTCAAAATCTGGCTGACACAGCTGGCCTTGGCAGCCGGAAGCTTTAAAGAATCAGCGAGCTGTGTCAAAAGGAAGGGGGTGTCAAGAGATCAGGGTATTTTACAAGTCACGTTCTGAAATTATTTGATGTCAAATCGCTATTTCACTAAAAACATTTGTGTGAATTGCTAAGTGTGCTTGCACTCTGCACTCGCACATGCAATTGATGATGTCTATTTTCCACGCGGCGCTCTGATGCCACTATGGCTGGCAAGTCTACCCAGAGAGACTGCAGAGATGGTCATTACCAAATCTGCGCTATTTTCATGTCGAAATCCCCCAAAACGGATTATCCAAGTCAGCACATGGCCTTTATTCGGCTCTGGCTGCACTTCGCACTTGCATACTTGGGCGCTTCCAAGACTTGTATACAACATAAGTGAGGTATGGTCCGCTATCAGCAGCTTTGACTGTGTCTCCTCCACGTCGTATGTTCTTGCATCCCTGCCAACCTCAGATGCAGGAAAGATCAGGAAAGCATGATGTTACAGAAAGTAAAATGCCAAAGGGGAACAGCAACCCACGGAGAGTGATCAGCGGCTATCAGCGGCTGTCAGCGAAGGAAACTGATACAGTTTGGAAACCTGCCAGTGCAAACAGGCAACTTCCAAACCGGTCTATCAAACAAGCTTCTAGAAAAGCTGGTCCATCAGCGTTTGGCGAAGCGAACAGGATCACCATGAAATCGAACTTGTCCCCCTTCGAGTGGACATAGCCAAAAGCATTATTGTGCCAACGGACAGCTGCATCATGGGTCCATCCGAACTTAAATGTCATTGGTTTGTTTTTTGAGTGTAGGTTTTGGAAAGTTTGGATTCCATGGTCCAAAACACGGCCTGCATTCACACCCGGCTTTGGTAAACACAGGGATAAGCAGGGGTCCATTTCGATTTTACGGAAAACTTCCTTTGACCTTTGAAGGTTCTTGAGGTCGTCATGTTCTAAGTAGCGGTCTTCCCAACGAGGTTCAGGCACAAGGTCACTGCTAAGTTTTGACTCTGGACGAAAGTCACTCTCCAAGGGCAGATGTTGGCAAATCAACCCCTGTGGGCCGTTCGCTGCAGGCTGCAAAGCAGTAGACCTAACTTGTTTGATAGCAGGACGTTCCCAAGCATAGGGGCCCAAAGAAGCCTCAGGCAAAGTCATATGATGATACAAAAAAAGTAATGAAACCAAGTAGTGAGCTATTTGCAAGGAGCAAACAAAGAAGAGAATTGCCATCATTGGGACAAGAGGCTGGTCGGTGACAAGTCAATAGTTCTATGAGCTCATCATCCGAAGAAGATCCCATGGCACAGTTTGCGTTGATATCCCCATATCCCACATACCCAACTGTAACATATTGTAATTGTAACCGTAACCCAAAATAATTTATTTTTTATTGGTCGATATATTCCAATATATCCCGAGAACTCTGAAATAAAAATATGTTATCTCTGTAGGTTGCCATGGCAGATTGAATTTGTGCGCTGTTTGGGACTGCATCTCCATAGACAAAAACCATATTTGAACCACAATAAAACTGCAATTCACAAGGCCAGGCGGTTAGAATGAAGATAGAAACCAACAGTCAAAACTTGCCGTGCCGTCAACCCTTTGAGCTCATGGCTCCATCGCCCACTTTTGCTGCAAAGCGCTTTGCAGATTTTCCGATGCGACCTGGCTCGCAGAGACTGGCTGGTCGCCATTGAGCTGGAATGTTGAATTTTGATTTTCTCATTTGATGTTCATGAGGTGGAATCATCCAACCATGGTGAACCAAATCATAACCAAATCTAAGAGGTTCTCACTTGGCCCTTTTTTCTCTCCCAAGCCGCAATTGATTTCAAGAATTTCAAGAACATTTCCGATTGGGTCCGGCAGCATGCGTTCAGTGGCGCGTGCATACGACAAAAGAAATGAATCATGACATTTTTTCATGTTTTGTTTCAGCTGTCAAACGTTGCAAGGCACCACAGCATGGAGGGAACATAGTCTCGTGAATTTGGATTGCGTCTAGGTAACGCAAATCTAAAATGGCATTCAATAAATCGTCAAGTCGAAAGATATCATGTCTTGCACATCTTCCTCTAAAGAACATGTGGGGCCCCAGGTCACTTCGCAACTCTCCCAAGGTGAGGTTCACCGTTTGTCCTAGGGATCCTCCTTCTTGGCATTCTTCTGGAAATGCTTCTTCGCAGTCCTGAGTTTAAGCGTATTGGCAGTATTGAGAAATATATCCAAGGTAGTTCCAACCAATTCAAAGTTGGTAACAAACATGTGGGGGTTCGCCCAGGAAACCTGTACGATTTTTCTGCACAGCTGGCAATGAAGATTTTTCAGGCCCAGGCCGAATCTTGGCTTCATTCTGCGCAACTCGTGTGCACCTAGGGCCGATGAGAGAAACATGGTCCATTTGATAAAAGGGTTGCAGGTTTAAGCCAGGCACACAAAGGTCGAAGCCTTCATGATGCTTTCTGCCTCTGCCGACCACCTAGGAATCACAAACATGATTGGACTCTTGATGTTGACGTTGAACCATGATTGGATGGCGCAATTAATGTTGCATGGACCATGGCAACCCCCATGCTGTTGAGTGACTCCTGGCTATGCTGATCCCTTTCGCCTTTCGCCACATGGTCCGACAACTTGTTGTACTCGGCATCCAAGGTGTTCAGATCCCCGTTCAGCTGGCCAACTGCCCTGATGTTGAAGATTCTCGGGGTGAAGGCTTGGAACAGAACAGGATCGGGGAGAATTGTCTTGTAAGAAGACATTGCAAATTATTGCTGATTAAATCTTCAGTCCAGAAACTTTTTGGCTGTAGGATCATCAGTATAGTTTCTCTGAAGATCCGTGATCAGCGACCGGATCTTGGCACACTTTGACAGCACAGAGTCGACATGCTTTGTGAAGACCTCCTTCGATCGAGCAGCCTCCCAATGGGGCTACAAACGAAGAGGGCATGTTTTTCCTCAAATGGGAAGAGTTCAAGTGTGAAGAACTGAAATCATGTTGTGTAAAAATATGTAAAAAAAGATGAATCGAATTTGACTAGTAAATTTGTTTCCCCCACCTGGCTGGTAGCCTCCACTGCAACACTTTGAGCTGCTTTGACACGGGCGTCATTGGCAGCCAACCTATTGGTATCAACTGCTGCCAAAGCTGGTCCTCCCTCTTGCTCCTGGCAGGTCTGCTGTGTTGGACTGCACTGGAGGAATGGGGCAACAAACTTTGATGACCCATGGCTGAAAGTTTAAAATGGGGGGTCTGTCCTGACGCTCAGTGGTGGTTTCACTGTTCACGTTTTCCTGCTGGTGGTTGCCCGTTTCAGAGACCTCGACGAAGTATTCATCTTCGCCACCATATTTGCAGTGCCTTCCAGTTCAGCATGAAAATATATAGTAATATAATTGCTAATGAAATGGATTCAGTACCTACAATTTCGATAATTCACTTCGTTTTCCACATACGTGCATGTCCGGTGTTCGTCTCCAAAAAACTGATGATAAGTCAAGCTGGCCAGCTAAAAGCACAAGATTTTTTTTGACATGATATGTTTTATTTACTGGTTGGATGTCACACTTTGCTTGGACTTCACCGGCCTGACCAGTGACTTGTCCTGCTCACAACATTTGATGGCTCCGCTGATCTTCTTCCTGGGTCAACCCCAGGCTAAGATGATGGGATGTACACTAGAGGAATTGCAATTTCAGGGGGACCAACTTGTTTGGCTAATTCTTGCATAAGAGTGTCGACGACCATTTGAGAATCTTAGACATAGCATCCTTAGAGTACCAACCTGTTGCCACATCGCTGACCTTACGGTCGGTCTTGGTTACCTTCTTCTCCTTGAACTTCACGAAGCGATCCTCCCAGGAGAGAAATCAATTGGATGGCTTCTGGCAATGGACCCCTGGCATTGGTTGGATGTGCCTATGGATGGAGTTGCTTGGCAAAACGTATGTTTAAACCATGAATGGCCTTGTCGAAGTTGCAGGCTTGATATTGGCGGGCAAGGGTCAAATGGTCACCGGTTTTCCATTCTTCATGGAGCCAAGCCGGAATCTGCAACTTACCATTCTTCTTGGATTCACATAGCCGTCGGAGCTTGGCTTTCAATGCATTGTCTTCCTTATATTTTGAACTGGAAAAAAGCATCACAAAACTCTTGGAAAGCACAACCTGAAACAACATGTCTGAACATATTGAAGTGAAACTCTGATTTGCATTAGGTTGAGCTGGGGTTCCAATTTTGCCTTCTTGGCTTGCTGCAGAATCTCATCCAAAGATTCTTCACCATCCCCATCAGGAGAGCCATCTTCAGGGGATTTGGGGTCAGCAGCGCTTGAGGGCCGTTTGGTGCCCCCTCCCCCCCGGGTAGATTCAGCAAGACCACCCTTCCCGAGAAGATGCATAGCGACTGAAGTGTCCAACTCGCCCTTCTGCATCATGCTCACGATTCGCAGCGTAACCTTGAAAGATTGATGAGTCACATGTTGGGCTACCGTAAGGCAATGAGCACACAGACCTATAGAGATGCCACATACACAAAACATCACAAAACGCATATGTTGTAAAATTCTTTGACCCCACTGGTTCCCAACTATATCAGTTTTACCCCAACTATAATTTTGATCAAATGACTTCATCCTCAACCTTGGAAGCAGAAGATGGTAGCGAGGATCCCGGGGAAGTTGGGGAAGGTTCCAAATCACCCGTGGCTTCTGGAGAACCATGCAAAGACTTGGCAATCTGGGATTCCGTAGCAGGCAGTGTATCGTCCAAAAGGCTGCTCTGAGGAGTAGCCTTGGGCAGCAATTTCAATGACATCAGAATACAACTAATGGTTTGTCAATACTATCTACAGTTCTGATTCTGTAAATGGAGCCCCATACCTACCTCATACTCTCACAGCAGTGTTTCAAAATTCTCGAATAAACAGAGTCCAATTTAGACCACCAAGAAAAACAAGACCGTGAATTGGATGTTTAGGATTGTGCACTTGAAAAGGAAATAGGTTGCAGTCTAGAAACTTGGCTCTTCAATCGCTGCAGCTCCCCCAAGGCTTCTACCTCAAGGACATGAAGTTGCATCTTGGTCTGTCTTACCGGTTTTTGGAAAGGGTGATCTGGGTATCACAGTAAATAACTCTATATCAATTAATGATATGAAACCTTTACCTCCAGAGTGTTTCGAAGATAATGATCCCATACGAGTCTTGGAAATAAGATGAAATAAGCACTCACAATGGTCTTTGTGTTTAAAGGAATTGAGGTTGTGGCAGATTGACTTTGAGCTTCCATATCGGCCAGCTCGCGTTCTAGCTCCTGCCAGCTGTGAACTAACTGGGGCATTTTATTTCTTGGCTTTCATTGAACTTTGGCAAAAATAAAATCAAACCACAATGATAAAGCCACAACACTATTGATAGTTTAACGATGGGTTTGTAATTTTGTTGTAGCAACACATCCAAAACCACCTGACAGCTTAGAGGGCAATCCTCCAAAGATTGAAGGTCATCAGGTAGATCAGGCATCTTTGCATCCAAAAGGATATGGGATAGGCCGCGCTGAATGTCACTGGTTGAATTAGCGCGGGAGACCATTGTGCGAACCGAGTCAGACCGGTGAATGAGATCCATCTATGATATCAATCTTCTATGGTCCACCCTCAAAAAGCCAAATGCCTATAGGCACAAATTTACATCTGTGTTTATCTAACACATGATCTTGAAGAAAGTGCAGTGCTCAATTCATGAAGGACGTAGAAACTGATATCAGTTGATACACGTCTCAGCTTTGTTTTCGCCTTGGCATCCCCTGGGCGAAATCTAATTGTACTTAGATGCATGTTGCATCCATTGGGCAAATGAATTTTGCCAGAATCATGGCAATAGATTTGTTGTCAAAAGTTCGGCCCAAAGCGGAACATCACTGGACAGAAAAAAATAACCAGATATCTAGGTTCTGTCCGAACAAAACTGTCAAATTCGAAACAAAACTATCAAATTTTATGTTGAAATATTACGAAAAAAACCTATGTTTTTTTCAAAAAACCCATAATTAATTATGGGTATATTACGCGAAATTATGGGTATATTACGGATAAATTACGGGTTGACCAAATTACGGGTTATTTTGGTAAAATGGTTACGGGTTCATTACGACTAATTATGGGTGGTTACGATCTGATAACAAAAAAAACATAGGTTTTTTTCATGAATTATGGGTATTTTATCATACGGTTATGGGTTTTCAAGACCTCAGTACGGGCGATTATGGATTACGGGCGAATTATGGGTAGAAAACTCCAAATCATATGTTTGAGCAATATTTTTTGAACTTGATGTGGTAAAATTGTTATGTTGTTTTCATTTCTGCCGAACAACAACAGTAGACAGCACATGCTAGGCCATGTGAACCTAAAGTTTCACTGGCAGCAAATCTCGAAAGCTGTCAGGAATCTTTAAATGGACCCCCGAACGGAGATAATGGCATACGGCCGTCATATGGGCCTCGCCCCAATTATCTTCGAAACTCATGCTACTGAAGATTTCCTCAGTGGTGGGGATTGAAGCTGGTAACACGGGCATCCCACGCTGGTCGGCCACAAGGTCTTGGAACAGGTCAACGAACTTCTTGCCAAACGCTGGCGGGTAGTTCCTGAGCTGGATAGTTTCAGGTGGTTCAAAGTTCATTGTATTTGGGTATCGACCTCTACAAACGATAACAGAAGAATTTCAAAAACATTATATAACACATATATACTATGCCATGGTAATACAGCAGAATATGGCACATATACATTATAATTGTTGATGAGACCCCTACTCTACCCGTAGCCAAGGTCACCAACACCCAGGAACAAGTTAAGGATTGTATATTTTTTGGTGGCATTTATTTCACCCAGATGAATTGTTAAATGCTGACCATAACAAAATTTCCCTTGAAAGAGGTCCTCGGCCCAGGGCCCCTTTCACTCCGAGGACACCTTTCAAAGGAAATTATGTTCCATGTAAAAAAAGTGGGAAAAGTTTCTTGGAACAATTGGGGCCCCAACTCCGATCCACGCAGTTTGCTTGTCCCCTTCCAGCGCTGCCGTCCCTCTGAATCAGTATATTTCTCCACCAACGTATGAGATTCTCCATGTTCTTCCATGGCCTTTTTGTGTTTTGCCCACCCTTTCAACTTCCCAGCATTCAGCCTGGCAATATGCCTTGAATTGGCAAAGGCATAGTGAGGCTTGGGAGTTTTACCTCCATAATGCCACATGTGCCAGCTGGCCTTGTGCACCTGACATGGGCACAACAACTCTGTCAGATGGTAAAAGGAAGACCCTGGCTCAACGCTAAATCCTAAACAAATATGCTGCTGGTGATCACCCACAACATCCCAGGTAACATGTGGATGGCCCACTGTTCTTAAAATATCATGATGTTCTTCCTTAAAAATGGTGATGTTCCAAAATGTTTCAAACTTCTACTGGGCCCAGGGATCCAAAATGGGATTTGCAGCATTGGCTGAGGTTACAGTTTTTGAATGGTCGACAAACGAAATGCAACTTGGATATATGATTGATGGGGACGGTGCTGTCAGGGGGCTGCCGTTTGACCTCCCCATTTCTGCAACATGCACACCAGCTCCCTGAAGCGGGGATAGAACTCAAAGTAGCTTGAATTGGGCTGCTCGAGCGTGATGACTCCATTGAGGCATACGACCACCATCATTAGCAATACCATCCTTATCCAATGAAAGAGATTGGCAGCACAAACCCAATATTTTGACTCAACACGTTCAAAAATCAAACTATGTGGTGGTTTAATAGGCAGAAATCAAAATGGATTAAATGCAAATGAAGTTCCGACTTCCTAGACAATTGCCTTCCCTCACGCTTGGAAAACTCATGTTTCCAATTGAACAGCAAGGTCCACGGCTGGAAGTACCAGAATTCACTGCCGTCCATGTGGAGCATTTCAAACCAAAGTGGGCCAACCATCCATTGATCCAATCCCCCCTCAACATGGTGGCCAGAGCTGTCCTGAAGGTTGGTGGTTAGCAGCAAAGACATGTGATCCATGGGGTTAATTGGAAACAATTCCATCCAAAAACATATTGTTATAAATTTATAAATGATCTAGTGGTGGCATAGTAAAGACCATACAAGTTTGACCTAGGCTCGCCATGCCTTCAGGGGTACAAAGATCCATTGGGTTACCACTACCACCATCTTTGTTGCCATCCATGTAAAGGAGATCCAGTCGGGCACAACGGTAGTTGGATTCCCGGAACGCACGAGTTACCTCTGCCTGCCCCGCAAAGGTCTCCACGAAGGCGAACGGTGTGGTGTCCTGCAGCGAGCAATGCAACATGGCTTACACTGGGGTATAGGGATGATAAGAATGGGGGGCGATGATATATATAATAAGAAGGAATCCTAATAATACATCATGATACGGGATGATAATGAGGACAGTAAAAGATTATATTTTGAGATGGCAATACAGTGGTAGAATCTTCACTTACTCGTTGAGATTTGAAATCATAAACACTCAGATCACTACCTTGTGCCTTCCAAAAAAGTGCATTTTGTCCTCCCAGCTCTTTGAAGGGATCTCAGTCCAAATGGTTAATAGCACCGCAAGGACCAGCACCTGCGAACCAAACACATGCTGGGTGTTTCAACAGAGATTCGATACCGAAAAAATCTGGTAAAGTGTTTGACGGTTTGGTTTTTTCTTGCAACATATCTGATACAATGTGATCAATGTATATACTGGTGAGTTTTACTCAACTCTTAAATGCACCTTGGGGGCACCAAGTGCCTTGAGGCGCCATGTCAACTTGTTCACAAAGTCACCAGACCACGCCATGAGCAGAATGGACACTGGGCACGAGTTTTTCGCTTTCCAAGGGGTATAACTCCCAGAAGCATGAACAACATATATACACTTGAAGTATCTTGAAGTCCTACAGTCAATATAGTTAATCCATAATATAAAAATGTAGCATGTCCCTCAAATTGACACAGTTTGAATCACATAGAAGAATCTTTTTGGAAACTTGAGGCATTCATGTTCTGGGTGTCGACCGGGCACTGTTCAGTTCCACAAGCACCGCAGATGCATCAAGCAAGTGGCTTTGCACATTGGGATCCCAAAGAACATCGGAGAAAACCATTCTTTCCAAATGCGAATAAATGAATCCACTTTTGATGGACCATATCTTCCAGAATAGATGGTTGTACTATAAAATCTATATGTTATAATTACTCAACCAATTTCGAAACGTGCAAGCGTTTCAGTGAAATGTTGCCAGGAAATTTCAACATCTTCTGGTTAAACATGGCTAGCGCACTGGACTCGTCCTTCAAGACACCTAGCTTGGCTGCCCATCGGTTGCCTTCGAGTGATGGCATCCATCAAGGTCCAGCCTGGGCCGTGGCGCTTGGACAATGTGTGGCGTTGGCTGCACGGCGAAGTTGGGATGGGCAACATATTGCGAAACAATTGGAAGTTTCGATGGCAGGGGAAAAACAAACCACAATAATGAAGCTCTTTCAAAACGACAGCTGACCCTTTTCCCAACCGGCGCTCACGATCTTCCTCATGAGGATTTCCCCATAAGAACCCACTTGCCATCTTTGGATGGGCCCCCACTGCTAAGTCAAAAATGGGTAGTGGCCCCAAAATACCTACAGGCAGGGTAAGCTCAATGGCACTCATCCAAATAAGTTAGAAAAATAGATATGGGTGAACCAAATCCCAGATGGTACGGCACAACTTATGGAAACCTCAAATGACTGAACCTATATTCGATAGGTACTATCTTTTGAGCCCACCATTGCATAAGATTTATTCAAGCCCACCCCGGCCTGTACTCCCACGTCCAAAGCTAAGGCAACGGAATGATCCAGCATCTTCAACTTTGTATTTGACATGGACGGATGCTGGTCTGCATTGACTGTCGAATCATTACACCAAGACTTTAGCCCAGCATGATGTAAGACCAGTTTTTTGTCAGAAAATAAATCAACTGTGCAGACCACCTACACATCATCCAAAAAAGATTCCTGTTTGAAATCACTACTTCCCAGACATTTTCTGGGCAAATTTGCTCGCTGCCAAATTGGCATTGTATTTGAAAAACATGACCTTGGACTGAACCTTTCCCTTCGGATCGTTGTAGTTGTCAATGTCGTCCTTGGAGATGTCTGCCGACCATGAGGCCTGAAGACGAGGGGACATCTTAAGATCAAAGGAAATTGTTAAAAGATGTTAAAAGGGTTTTAGTATCTTGTAGCTACTTTGCACATCTTCAGCAATGGTCAGGAGGTAGGGAAGACCTTCAACATTTAAATGCGGGGGATAGCCATGACAAGTGGTACAGGGTTTCATCATATTTCATCTACAAAATATTGTAATTTGTTTGAACTATATAAGTCATTCAGCCAAAAAGCCATCAAATGGCCAGAGACATAGGCAGTCACCACGCTGGCATTGAACGAGTTTGCCGTTCCGCAGCGCCCAAAGTAGACAATCTCAGTGAGCTTGCCAGGCTTCCCGGTCTTGAGATCCACTTGCACACCACAAGCTGGCCGGCTGAAGTAGGGATTGAGCTTGCCATGATTGAACTGGTGTGGCAAGTTCTTGTAGAGATACTCCTTCAAACCGTCATAGGTAAGATCCTTGCACTGCTTCATGTACTGCAAGAAAACCCCTTGGACCTGAAGATCTTCCTGCGGGCTCTCCTGCATGGTGGCAAGTTCTGCCTGCTTGCGGCGCTTGTTCTCCTTCTTGGCAAAGGGAGATAGCTCTTGCTTTGATCTCTTCGTACCCTTCCCCTTTGCCTTTGCTGCTTTGCCCCCTGCTTCGTTGCTGCTGGCTGCTGCTGCTGATGCTGCTGAAGTTTGCACGGTCTTCTCCGCCTTCTTCCTGCGAGGGCGGGTGGCAATCCACTCAGAAGGCTTGTCCTGCTCAAAGATCATTCCCAAAGGCTTCACCTTACCCGTTTTGGAGTCCAAACGCTCATGGGGACTGTCATGTCCACCCTCATCACCATTCTCCTCATCTGACTCGAAGAGCTTCTTCTTGGGCGTGGGGGTGTCAGTCTCACCGGCAACACCCTCATCCTCCTCATCCATGTTCTGCTCCGCATTGATGTTGGCATCGGCAAGTGCCTTGGCCTTGCGACCTGGCTTTGACTTTGCAGCAGAGCTCTTTGCCTTGGCTTTGGCTAACTTGCCATCTGCATTCTTAGGTGCTTTCTTGGGTTTGGGATCCTTGGGCTCAGCTTTGGACTTGGATCTGGCCTGGCGCTTGCCTGGCACTGCCTCATCAGGCATGGCTTCAGGAACATCAGCCACAGCCATCTCAGGTTCAGCTGCGGGCTTGGGGGCAGCCTTGCCTCTGGAGACTCTCTTGGACGGTGGCTTTGACTCTTGGGGCTCCTTGTTCTCCTCAGGCTGGTTTGCATCAACCTTCGGTTTCCGTTGTCTGCGTGGTTTCTTCTGGACATGTTCTGGTTCCTGATCTCCACCTTCATCTGTCTCAGCTTCTTTGGCCTTGCTCTTGTCCTTCTTGGCCTGCTTCTCTGCCTGCTTCGATTCCTTGAGTTTCAGCTGGTCCCGGCGGGTCAGCACCTGCAGTGGAATGGTTGTGCTTGGGTCACCATGGGTGACTTACCCGCTTAGATTCCCGGTGAGGGGGGGTTGGAAAGGTAAGAGATAAAGAAAACGGGGAACCCTTTTGGAATGAACATCATCTGGCAATTTGGGGTACGTGCCCAACCTTCTGTTCAGGCTGATCAGGCAAGTCCTCCTCGGGCTGGGTCAAGGGAATGCCACCATCGTCAGCCAAAGCCTCTGGACTGCCACCATCCTCATCCACAGGCATCTCAAGGTTGAACTTGGCAGTAGCTGCGGCAACTACGTCTTCATCCATGGGCTGGGTCTCATCATGGTCACGTACAGGTGGAAGAGGCTTGAAGCCTGTGGCAAAGCCCAAATGTGACATGTTACTGTTACCGATGTACTTGCGTAGGCTGACTACTTTAGGATTTTAGCATATATGGGAAACAACCATGCCCTACCAATCGGATGGGCATTGCTGTACAGATAAGATACCCTTTGTTGACAAATTAAGGTTAAAACCAAGAACCAGATCTTCTAACTACTGTTTGTTTTTTTTTGCGACGTTTTTCCCTTTTTTTTGGACCAAAATTTCAAACAAATATGCGGACGGATAACTCATGTCACCATTTTGATTTAAAGTCCCGACCTTTCTTGGGCACTGGTTCTGCTTTGGGAAGCGCTTTGCAGCTTCCAAGATCGTTCCTGAGAATTCAAACGGTGGGGTTGGTAGGTCATCACAAAAAATAATAGCCATTGCCGGACCATTCCTTTTAATGATGATATGGACTTTAAGTTTTGGGGGTGCATCACCATCACCCTGGCCCTGGCCAAACTAAGAAGAGCATCGGCTTGGAGTTCTGCAGACGCTGCTTCTTCTCGGCAATCTGCGCTTTGAGCTCCAGCATGCGCTGTTGGATTGCGGCACCTTGGCATGGAGCAGGGCTGGAAGAGTAAAGGACTGGAGTGGAATACCTTTTGGAGGCAAAACTAGATATTGTATAGGTGAATTATTTACGGATCAATATATAAAATATACGGTGCTAAACTGTTGATCTAGAAGCATTTGCATGGCACCCACCCACACTTATCACATTTCACCGGTTTCTGGCGATCAAGCCAACGTTTGAAGTCAGCATAGTCCGCATGATCTTCCTCATCCCCTGAACTATCTTTGTCATCATCAACACTGCCAGATGAGGACCGCTTGCATGAAGACATGTACTGGTCAATGTACTCCTACGGGTTTGAGAATTCTGGCCATGAAAACTAACCAAGCATAAGCAAACAGTGTTGGATCACCACCACTTTCACTTTAGAAACAATGATCCATTGGGCCCGCTTTGAAAACGTTGGTCCTTCAAGTTGGGGTCCAACAGCAGAAGCAACTCATGGAATGCGGTGTCCTGGCTGGCAGGGGCAGAGCAAACAAAGAGAACGGATGTAACCAGAAAAATTCCCCTTATGGTGGATGCTATCATGAATGGGCAATAAAGATAACATAAAACAAATTTCACGGGATACCGTTGAATATTAAGAATAAAGTTTAGTATCAGATTTGGTTTGGCAATACCCAAGTCCTTCGTAACTTCCTTTCTCTGGACTCTCCTCTTGATGAAACTTGTCAAGCGCTTCACTTCCACACTTGACGTGTAGACAAGTTTGTCCCCTGGAGTATGGCCACACTTCTCATAGACTGTTTCAACTTCTACTTTTAGGTCATCTAGGTGTGGCAGGCGGCGGCTCTGCTCACGCATACGAACCAAAACTGGACGAAGCACCATGGCATTCTGCACCGCATTCAAACGGCATGCGGCGCAAAATTCCTCCCCATCCTGGTTCTTTAAGAGTGATTTTTCCGTCCGGATATGTTGGCGTAGCTCACTATCTTGCTCCCATTGTTGCGCAAGCCCAAAACAATCTAAACCTTTTCCACCAGCTGCCGACATGGCCGCAAAGATAGATGGGTCTGGTTCACCAAGCCTTTGAAGCAAAAGGCTATGTAATCACAAACCCGACATTGAGACATCCAGCCAAGCTTCCCCCTATGGATAAGATACCTAGATAGTGGTACTTGGAAAACTGATTGAAAAATAATCTTAACAGCTGATTCCTTGAAACATCTTGGCTACCCAGATCTGAAGGGGTTCAAGATTCTGAGCCAAGGTATCATGAGTGGCACTTGCATCAGACATCCCAGCGGAGAAAATCGAGGGTCCCGGCGGATTCATCATCTGTGTAGCG